AAAATAAAAAAAATATAAAGATATATATATATATATATTTAGTTTTACATCTTCATATTATATTCCTTTAAAAGTAAATAAATTTGATCTAATCGTTTGTTTTAATTTTAGAGACAATATATTTTATCTAATTTTGAAACAGGCGGATCTAATTTGGACCCTTGGATGAAGGATTTGGTCTCCTTTAATACTCATCTTCTCTTATTGAGAGGGAGATAGATTGGCCGGCCCTAGCTTTTGGTGGAGGTTTCTTGTTCGCGAAACCCCACGGCAAGAGTGGCCACTCTCCCTTCTTTCTCCTGGAGCAGCACACGAGCAGCTCACCGACGCCGACCTTCCCTCCTGCCGATGCCGTCCGACTCCAACTTTCTACCGGTCCGACCCAGGCAACCTCCCCTCCTTCGGCGTCCGACCATGCAAGCCGGCTCTAGCTCCTTAAGCCTCTCCTTCTCCTCTCTCGGATGGACAAAGCAAGGCTCTCGTCCGTTTCTCATGGAGGGTTCACACGATCCGACTCGCTCGACCGGCTAGATCTCGTCGCTGGCCACCTTCTAAGCTCCGCTACCCATCCGGACTCCAGCCCTCTTCCCCATTTACTTTTGCCTTGCAAAGAGGGTGGCGGGATGATTTTCTTGTCCAAACAGTTCAACTACAGCAGCTCGAACCAGGAAGAAAAATGCAAGGGGAGGCTGTCGGGGTCTCCTTTTTTTCATTCAGCCAAGATAAAAAAGCTGCTTGCATTTTTGATGACTGGAGACATAAACAAGAGAAGAAAATGTAAGATGAGCATTTAAATATTTTCTCTACACATTTTACAAGCTTCAAATCTAGTAAAAATATAGTTTGGGGCTTCATAAGTTTACTTCTCTAGATGTCCGACAGTGAAAATGTATTATAGTTTTCTTAAGTTGTTGTTTATTCATTTCCCGGTACAGCTGATGTTGTAGCGAGAAGTATGATATATGTTAATTATTTTTTCCTTAAAAAAAAAAGCATTGCAGCTCTCATGAGGGTGCCAAACGTTCAAAATCCCATTTTTTTTTAGTACAGACAACCTCAGAGTATAGTATAACCAGTATGGTGGAATAAGTGTTGTTCATCTCTCTCAAATAAAAGTTTAGAAATAAAATGTTTTAGAATATCTGATTTAAAATTAATCAATATTAATTATAAATTAGTAAATTCATTTGGAGACACATTTATAATTATTTTTCTCTCTCCTAAAAAAAAAAGAAAGAAAGAAACTCTTTCACTGTTAACTTTAGAAGTTTTCTTATATGATATTTTGGATTACTTATTTAATAAATAAGTTAGATATATTCAATTGAACCATAGTGTCCTGAATGCACAAGTTGTGTTTTTTTTTTTTTAACATCCACGTTGTGTTTGTTTCTCTTATATCTCAAGGCATGTGTCTGTGTAATTTCTTATGAGTGGACAATATAATAGTGGCTTGTTGATGATGCTGGCCGTTAGTTATCTCGGAAGGTTGAAATCATTTTAATGCTATGATATGAAAGTTATTTTAATAAAAAAAATCCCAAAAGAGGCATTTGAGTGTGGCTGCTCCTTTAGAATTGTTTGAATCAATGAAAAGAAAGTCTCTATAGATTAAATTATTATATTTTAGAGAAGCAATAAATTCATTTCAAAATGCAATAGCTAATCCATTGATGTTGTAGTATAAGCTCAATGTGAAATACCCAGGATTCTGAAGGATTCATTCTATGCACTCACATCGTTAATAATTCTATTTCATAGTTAAAAAATAAAAAGTGATTTAGTAACGTGATTTGCAAATGGTATTGTATGTAGAAGTGCCTCATTTAAGATAATAAGATTTACATGAGCTTGACTTCATTCCATAGACGATTGTTTGCGAGTGTAAATTAAGTTTGGTATAAAGCATGCGGTGGATGTAGAACTGTATTTCTTACATTTGCATAGTAAGTATTCATATTTATTTATGAACCCCGACACTGCATGTATGCTTCGTGTTATATAAAGTAAAATTTGATAGCTTTGTTAGATCAACTTGCTTGCTTCACATTCTAGCTGCAAGCATAATCATGTTAGAAGAGTTATGCAAATGTTTAGATGTAGATATTGTATTTACACGTGATATCAAAGGCTAAAGGATTCATTGGTAATACTTGTATGTGGTAAAACAAATGTTATACATGTAGACTTCTTTGATAATATCATTATTCCAATAGTGCATGTCTATGTTGGTAGTCATCCATGTATCTCATGCTTAGCCTGTTTCCTCTTCACACATGTTAGAAAGTATTTTGCTTTATGTATAATCTTTTCACATACTCTAAAGTAGTAAATTTCTAAATCTTAGGTTGCTAATTTATCATATGACTCATGCATAATTCTTCCTGCACTCTATGTTAGAAAATTCCTTACATGAATTTTTGTCCTAACGTTTGATAGATAGAAATGTTGAATTACATGATTATTGGATTTCTGTTTATTTACATTTTTCTTCTGAATGGCATCTACGCTCACCCATATCCTTCTATTTTTGTTTTGTCTTACGAGGTACCTTCGTCGTTGTGTACGCATTGGTTGGTGGGTCGTTCGCATGGGAGCTTCTAAGTGGGCACGCCTGGGTCAGGTATACTTTGATAGTCCTGTAGAGACTCCTCTTTGTATTGCCGAATGGTTACACATTAACACACACATTTGACTGCTTTTACTTTCCCACCCAAATACGCTTGCTAGGATGTTTAGTTAGCCGGCCATAGGTTAGTCCACTAACGAAGCTTTGGCCTTGTGGGCCAAAGCTTGCCCCATTTGATCTAAAGTGTTGTGAAAGCTTAAAAATGAGATATTTTGATGTGTTAGGGATCCAAAGCGAAAAGAAAACCCTTTATAGGAAATTTCTTCTCATTTGATGGTGCAACACAAAGAGCCTGAAGGGAAAGAAGCTGAAGATAAATAAAATATCTCATTTTTAAGACTTGCGTCATTCCATAAGGTTAGAACCCAGGTTGTTGTCGGTGGAGCCTGGCCACCACTACTTTTCTGTACTTTGGTTGTATATTGAATGGCACTTGTCATGGACTTTGGAGACTCTATTTTGTTGGCTTGTTGTGTTTACTTTGTTTGTGCTATATATATATATATATATATATATATCTATGAACCTCGACACTACATGTATATTTGGTGTTATATAAAGTAAAGTTTGATAGCTTTGTTAGATCAACTTGCTGGCTTCATATTCTAGTTGCAAGCATAATTATGTTAGAAGAGTTCTGCGAATGTTTAGGTTTAGACATTGTGTTTACATGCGATATCAAAGGCTTAAGGATTCATTGGTAATACTTGTATGTGGTAAAACAAATGTTATACATGTAGACTTCTTTGGTAATATCATTATTCCAATAGTGCATGTCTATGTTGGTAGTCATCCATGTATCTCACGCTTAGCCCATTTGCTTTTCACACATGTTAGAAAGTATTTTGTTTTATGTATAATCTTTTCACATGCTCTAAAGTAGTAGATTTCTAAATCTTAGGTTGCTAATTTATCATCTGACTCATGCATAATTCTTCTTCCACTCTATGTTAGAAAACTCATTACATGAATTTATGCTTTAACATTTAATAAATATGAATGTTGAATGGTATGATCATTGATTTCATTGATTGATTTATTTATTATTATTATTATTTACCTCCATTTTTCTTTTGAATGGCATCTACGCTCATCCATTTCTATTTCTTTTGTTTTGTCTTGCGAGGTACATCGAGTTTTGGGTATGCATTGATCAATTGGTCGTTTGTATTGGAGCTTCTAAGTGGGCACGCCTGGGTCAGGTATACCTTGATAGTCCTGTAGAGACTCCTCATTGTATTGTCGAACGGCTACACATTAGCACACACATTTGATTGCTTTTACTTTCCTGCCCAAATATAATTGCTAGGATGTTTAGTTAGCCGGCCATAAGTTAGTCCACTAACGAAGCTTTGGCCTTGTAGGCCAAAGCTTGCTCCCTTATCATGAAACCTAGGGACCCTTATGGTCATTTTAGGCCTGTAGTGTAGGCCACCTATGTGTGTCATATGCATCATTTTTCCCACACGAAGTGGGCATCACTAGGATTTTTTTTTTCTTTGGGTTTTAAAATGATTAAGTAACTCTAAAAAATTGATTCTTAATGATTTTATGCCTCCTAATGTCTCTCACAAGCATGCTAAGGAAAAATATACGAAAATGAAATAAAATATGAGCTCTAGCATGTTAGGTGGCTTCCTTCGATTAGTTTCATGATTACAACTCCTAAAATTCTTTAATTGAACTATAATCTCTAAAATTCCCTTAACCAATATACAGTTTTAAAATCATTAATTACTCCAATCGAATATTAAAATATGTAAAATAAATCTTTAACCAACTCCTAATCTAATCACATATGATAATCTATATTAATTAAGGTTAAACTAAATTAAGATCATTAAAATCTTCTCAACCAACATTCTAGTGTTTAACAAAGCATTGAGACACTAATATTTGAACTTAAACTAAAGCCTCCTAATTGTAAGCAACCCAAAATGAGCCTATTGGAGGAGCAAAGGAATTTCAAGATATGCCTTAGTGCCTTAACCTATATGGAATTTACATTCACTTTTGTGCTTTAGCTTAAAAAATATGCAAATCTCTATGTAAATTGCCCCTACCTTAGAAAAGATTAAATCCATCTTTATTAACCTAAACCAACTACCTTAGTCACCCAAGTGTTATAACTTAGGTCAGGTAGAACCCATGTACATTTCTATAGATAGCGTGTCATTCCACTCTCATGTCAGCCTCTAAAAATAAATTTACCTTAGACATAGGAAGCTTAGGATTTTCTTTTTATGGTGGGTAGTAGGCCCACCTTAGTGGTGTCACCCTTAGCCATTCCTCGAGTCCTAGATTATTATCAAGGGAAGGATTAACCAACCCTTGCCAAGGATTAACCAACCCTTGCCACCTTTTTTAATAATCTCAACCTTAATTAGGAGTAGGATTGAGGATGAGTTATTTGCCCCTCAATTCTTTATAATCTTAGTATAGGTTAGGGCCTAAGCCTTTAGGCTCTTGATAATTTAATAACTCAAATTTTAATCCCTAATTTAAGCTTTAATTAATTCACCCCAAATGGCTAAGCAATTAAATAAAAACTTGAGGGCTAATAAATTAAACCATAAGAACTCAACTTTGTAACTCAAACCACTCACCTAATTTGGGGTAGTTAAGTACACCTTTTTGCACACACTTAGGTGCTGGATAGGACACTTTTTTTATAGGCATCCTAGGGTAGGGTGTAGCTAGGATAACCCTTTTACACTTTCTTTCTTTTACATTTTACATATGTGATGATGTGATGTTTGTTTCTGGCTTGGTTTGTTTTCTTTGGTTGTTTTCTCTTCCTTTTTGATTGATGAGTGGGCACTTGTCCTTAAGTGGTTATATCTTTTTTTAAAAATATCTTTTGCAGGTGGTCATATTTCTAAAGGGCAATATAAAAAATGCTCTCATCATAAATATGCTCTTTAATAGGTACTGCGACGAATGCTAAAAAGCCCATTGGGAATATGGCCCTAAGGACTAGGTTCTGGATGATGTGTGATTTTTTTTATTATTATTATTATTATAATTGTGCTAATATGTATTTTTTGTAGGGAGTCAATGTAATTTTCTTTAAAATGTAATTTGATCTAAAGTGTTGTGAAAGCTTAAAAATGAGATATTTTGATGTGTTAGGGATCCAAAGCGAAAAGAAAACCCTTTATAGGGAATTTCTTCTCATTTGGATATCCTATTGGATGGTGCAACACAAGGAGCCTGAAGGGAAAGAAACTAAAGATAAATAAAATACCTCATTTTTTTAAGACTTGCGTCATTCCATAGGGATAGAACCCAGGTTGTTGTCGGTGGAGCCTGGCCACCACTACTTTTCTGTACTTTGGTTGTATATTGAATGGCACTTGCCATGGACTTTGGAAACTCTATTTTGCTGGCTTGTTGTGTTTTCTTTGTTTGCGCATTAGAACTGCATGCTTTTTCCTAGGTTTCTTAAATCACTTTGTTTGGGTGTGGCTCGGACGGAGTCAACGTTAGGCTCTTTAGGATGTTAAATTTTCTATAAAGTTAAATTTTATTTAAGCAAGATAAAAAGTGAATATATGATTAAAATTAACCAATTTTTTTTAAAAAAATTAATGCATGATTCCTTTAAAGGGGTCACTTTTTAAATTATAATAAATAAGCCTTGCTCACTTTACAGTGACTATTGGCCAGTCCTGATTGGCCTTACTTACACATGCATAGCCTTGAGTCAGCATATAGATTTTTTTTTTTTTTCTTTTATAACATAGAGGGATAGTTTACTTTGCATAAGCATAGTACCATTCATAGTCGGGTTTGATACCCATTTCCTTTTCTATCCCCTACCACTCTTGCATTTGCATAAGACTGGATAACATGGATTTGATACGCTAGGTGGAGTTTAGCTGGTACCCCTTTCCGAGCAGGGTGGTAAATCCAGGTCGGGGCTACTTAGATCCCTTGGGGGATTTAAGCCATAAGTCCCCTCATTGTGTCACTTTTTATGAATTTTGAATCCGTTACTTCTCTTAGGATAATAATCTTGTCTTCGATCTTTTAAACTCAAAATTTTAATTACATCTTTATCCATTCAAAAATGTCTAATCATCACTAAGGATAAATAGAAGAGACTCTTTGGAATAAAACTTAGGAACTCTTTTTGTGCACCAAATCAAGAAGT